ATGCATTCATATAGTCACTGTTAAAAGAAAAAGATTACATTGCAAACTCAAACACTAACACATTGATGTGTCGTAAATACTTTCACGTAAAATTTGTGACCATGAAAACAGCTTCTAATTCCATTTTCACTTTATTTTCCACAAGAGTCTCTTAAAATGTGGTTTCCTGCTTATCTTAGCTCATTCTCCTAGAGAACTGAGTTCCATAGTTCTCTAGGTCCCCATAGTTCTCTAGGTCCCTAAGACACCCTGCCCAGTTAATTCTCATTTATTGTGCAGTTGCATTTATTAGCCCAAGYATAGCAGTGACACACTTACTATCCAGACAACTTGACAATCACAGACACAAGTTTGGTTTTCCAAATTTTTGTCACAAAAATTTGGAAGTCACCCTCTCTACCTTAGGTTCCCTCTTCCCATCTCTCCCACATTTTTCTTTTCCTAAGCAGATATATTTCTTGTTCCCTTTGCATCTAAGTCAGGCAGCTTATATTCTTCCCTGCCACAAAAAGCCAGCATTTTCACTGCAAGAGATAAAGCATGTGAAGGCTTAAAAGAGTCTTCAAGGAACATTTCTGATGAAAAATAAGAAGTCTATATTTATTTATTTGAACCTGGACAGCAGATTTTTCAGTCACAGCAAAAGCAACAACCTGATACAGTATTTCTATACTACCAAACTTCGACCACTTATTTAACAGTCATAACCATCTGTAAAACAGAATTATTTTAAATGAAGACCTACAAGTATTTTTCTTTGCTAACAAGTGAATGTTTTCCCAATTTCTTAAAAAGATAATTCAGCCCAAGTAGTTAGAGGTTGGCAAAACTTGAAGCAACTGAAAACAAGATGCTAGAAACACATCAAGTAACACATAGACTCTTCTTATCTCCAAACTCTTATCTCCAAAAAGGTTGACCCTGAAAACCTGTGGCATACAAAAGCATATTGCATGTTCTTCTCACATTCCAGAGCTTTTAATTTGTGTATGAACTGAAAAAAAATCATTATCCAATATAGAGGGCAGCTGAGTGGGGGACAAGGCATGCTGCAGGGATTTCTGCACACTGCCATTTCATCGAGACATCAAACACTTGTCCCAAAGAGAAAAAAGGCATCAAACAGTTGTTGCAACTGCCTCAATGGAAGAACAGCAACATTACTGAAAATTTTAGTGATCTATAGTTTATTGTATCCCCCGGTACTGCAGCAGGTGGACTTTATAAAAGGGGTCTCAAAGGTAAGGTCACACAGGTAGCAATAAAGCAAGCGCTCAAAAACTGCTCCGTGCTTGTACTTGAGGAATAATCTATTATTTTATGGAGACAAAAGAGAAGATCAGTTCCCTGTCTGCTCCTTTATGTCAGTGATAACACTTCAAGAAATGGTGTCGGTCCCAATTGTGATGATAAATTTTGTAACATGGAAGCTGTTTCACCATGAGATAGATGTAGGTCATCAACGGGTGACTGGTCTCACACAAAGATTCTCAAAGATGCTAATGCAGGGAGTAAAACCAAACAATTTTTTGAAGATTTCTGTCATTTTCAGAGCTATCAGAGAGAGGTTTTATAAAAGGGGAAATGCCATTTTAATACTGTCAAACTTTTAAGGTTTTAATACAGCAGTAGAAATTAAAGAACTATTTTCAGGAAGTTTTACCTGAATAGGCTGAATTGCCTGGGTTAGCATTCCAATAAAGATTTCTTCTCCAATTAAACTCACAGGTAGAATTATACATTGCCTACATGCCTTTGACAGATGACTTAAAAATGCATAACTTTCCCTATGCAATAGGGACCAAGGAGGTTCAACATCCAAGTCTAGTCTGTACAAACATCAGCTAGCAGAAGTTGCATCAAGACTGGTGATACTAGATACTAGTAAATTTACTAGTTAGTGATACTAGCAAAGGAAAACTTTCTGAGGAAGTGTCAACAGTATTTCTTGACTATTCATAAATTTCCAGATGTTTTCCAGTAGCAGTTTAGCACATTTGGATGATTTTGTACTGAATTATACCCTCCCACTTGATCACGCTAGTGACATGTGAAGCTTGGATAGAGCAGTTAAAACAGTCAAGAGGTTTAAAAACAAAAAAAAAAAAAAAATCATATTCAGGGCTTGCTTATGGTGACAGATCCTACTTTTTGAGTCCATATCAGTCACAGGAAAATATTTCATTTTAACTACTGCAGGTGGTAACACTCTCATTCAGGACCTGAGCCAACCCCCATGAAAGCCATTAAGATTCTTTCAACTCAGTTCATATCAGTCCCTCAAATACCTCAGAAAACACCAATGCACTGAAAATAGCTGTTGTTACCAGTGAGGGCCTCGTGCTGTTTCTATTTAAAGTATTTATAAGAAAATATTCAACTGTATTTCACAGTGATACATTAAATAACTCATCATGTTCACTGCTTTTGGGCAATAATTAAAGATTTAAGGCATCCAACAAAAATATCATTGCTTAATTAAAACCAATATAAAACTTTTTATTAAAAATCTTATTATTAAAATATTTGCTTGCTGTCAATCAGTCTTTCTTCAAGGTGCACTATAGGATTTTTGTAGCTAATCTTACTTAAAGTAAGCAGTAAGCTACTTCTCCCTTGATGAAAGCTTTAAAAAAAATCGTATTGCCTTAATCTTTACACTGTTAAGAATTTTAATGTGTATTTATTTTTCAAATGTGTGGTCCCATATGCATTATTTAATTTCATTAGAGATAATGGGCAAATTGATACTMTACTTTTGTGCTGCTTGTGTTTCTTTGCTGGAATTGTGGAGCTATAATTTGGTTATTATCAGATAGAGAATTGTCGACTGCATCATCCTCTGTGTCTGGCATTCAAGTCCCTCTCCAGCAGTTCTTTGGTCTATAAAACATGTGCATATTCTTAGTACCTTCACAACAGCATAAAGTGAGCACTTTCCCCTCTAAATGGTTTGATGAATAACATTGATCATTTAATGATCCTTGCAAAAGGCCCRTTTTCATCAGGTGTGGAGCAACCACATAACCAATAAAGCAAATTAGACAGAATACCACAAAGGAAAAAGAAACTCAGAATTTGCACATCTCACCTCAGTGAGAAACTTTATGTAGGATTTTGTCTTACCTCAAGTTCAAAGGAGCTTACTTGTATCTACAAGACCCTCCAATGATGTATTCTCTGTCAAACTATAAGAGAAAGATTCAAATGTAGATTTCAGATAAGTTAATAAAAAAAGATCGCCTTTACATTCATTTATAAGCTTGAAAGTTTATGCCTTAGCATGATAAATCCTATATATTAAACCCTAATTGGGGCACTTCTGACATGTAATTATAAGGATAAGTATTTAAAGACATCAGTTCYGGTAAAAGGTATTTATATGTTACTTTTTTTTTTTCTGGGTATACAGTACTCGGTCCACTATTGAAATGAAAAGTAAGAGAAAATGACAATTTTACATTTTTGCAGAATGACTTCAGTAAGACAATATATTTTGAAAGAACAGATGTAATGATGATGCAGCTTTTCTACCTTCACAACATTGCTCTAGCATAGGTATTTAAGCTGGTTCTGACTTGGCTAGCTTCAGTACTCCGGTTAGTATAGCCATTCCAGTAAAACTTTTGATTTAAATATGCTTARCCTTTGTCAGAGTCCTTCTGGATATTTAAATATCCTGTTGATCATTTCCTTTTCTCTATTATTTTAATTTTCCCTTTCAAGGAATTCTTAAAAATCAGTGGGCTAGGCATTTTCTTCTGCTTAGCTATGATGGCAAATTCAGTTGTATCATGAATTGCCAGGTATTATACATTCCACTTAATTTACACTAGTAAAAAAATGAAATAAAATTATTAGCACCAAATATTTGGCCAACCTTAGAATACTGTATTTCATTTTCCACTTTCATTGCATGTGCAATATGCACATTTTCATTAATTTCTCTCATTGCTTCTTATTATTCTAATTTCCTAACAGGCTTCATGTGTTTAATAACTTTAAGAAGACTTTAATGTTTTGCACTCTAAAACGTACAATCAGTTTTGATCTGATGAATCATTTTTTGTTGTCTCCTAACATCTCGCCTGTATTTATTGTATTKCTATGCATATTTATGGGTAAGACTACAAAGCAATAAAATACTTCTGTTACAGACTCGATTTTTTTGCAATTTARCTCTATCTGTTTATTTTTACTTTCAAAAAACCCCCTTTGTTCAGAGACAGGCACTACTCCTCTGATGCTATTGTTATTTTTCTAAGGCGTATCTCTATCATCTCTAAGAGTTTTATATCCTTTATCTTTTACTTGAGAGGCTTTTAGGCTATGCCAGTTTTTAACACTTACCTTCATTCTTGACATCCTTGACTACTGAACACAATGAAAATGTGTCCTTTTGTGTTTGGCCATATCATTGCTGCTTCTTGAAATCACTCCTACCTTACTAAAGAATAGCCTCTTCTTGGAGAAGTGGAACAAGAAACACTTTAAACGTTAATAAAACTTATCTCAGCTTTGTTGAGCTGTGCTGTTCACTAATTGATATGTGACTAGTTGCAATTGTTTATGTTTTGCCATTTTTCCCTGCCTCTTAAAAATCTAATTTAGACCTGCGCAGTGTACTTCAGTTTTGGGGTCCTGAGGGAAGATACAGTGCAGAGTCAGCAAAATCTYTCTCTGGAAACTAAAGGGCAAGGATTTGGTTATATTTTACCGTCCTCGTATGACATCAAGATCATCATCAAACTAAATCTTGGTACCACAAATAATTCAAATCCATAGCTCAAGATTTGCCTGTGCCCTTAATATTACTGCAGGGTGGACGGTATTTCATTCAATGCACTTAAATACAGGTCTTGTTCAAAAGCAGCAGTATATAGCATATTCCTCCTTATTTGATACACAGAAAGACATTCTTCTATGACACTAGGTTTGTCTAGAGGGAAGAAATCCCCATCTGATTTATTTTTATAGAGTGAAGGTCCATTTTTATGAGAAGATCAACAGGAATTTAGTACAACACAGGATCTACACTCATTCACAGTCCATAATACACTAGAACTACTCCCATTCTCACTGAATCCTGTAATAGAGGCAATCAGATCAACTCCTGGGTCTAACTGACTCCCTACAGCTGGTGTGAGCTCCTGGAATCAATCAATCAGATGAAAATTTGAGTTTTTATGTTCAGAAAATTCAACTTTTTCAGTCCATGTGACATTAAACAACAGCTAACAAGTGAAATCCCATATATGTAATAAATATAATTATTTATAAATATAAAATAAAATATATTTTTTTAATATGAATTTACTAAGCCAATTGCAATTTAGGAGACACCGAAGGAGTGACTTATGACAAATAAAAACCTACAAATACAAATTTATCTAATCTTTTGATGTGCTGCTCCAAAATTAAGGGTAGGGTAACACAAATTCCCAGSACATACAAATGCAAGGTACCTGTTATCCATGACTCCCTCACAGTCCATGGCACAAAACAGACCCTTTCTTGTCCATATGCTTGTTCCCTCTCAAGGGAAACCAGAGATTATGGAAGGGTGATACGCACTGAGATCTTACCCAATAAATGGAAGACTACCTTAAATAATCTGTTTGTGCATCTTTCTGGAGACGCATTCGCATAATGCCCCCTATTCACTGTTGAATATTAGCTGTATCACAAAGGAGAGAATAAAAATGACCTTAGAACTCTTGCGCTTTTCTGAAAGTAAATGAAGTAGACATAMATGCTTTGGAAATACATAAATGTGCCTCTTTTCCATATAAAAAGAATCCTTACATTATGTATATGTCAGCCAGTCTACCCTCAGTTATAATTTCAAGGTCTTTATCGCCATTTTCAAGGTAAGATCTGAGAAAATGAATATGGTCAAAGTTGTGCTGAACTTTAGCCACCATGGATAAAATATAAAGTTTCAAATTTTGATTCTTTGTATGGCTGTATCTCAGTATTATCTTCTCAAGTAATATTAAGAAAGGTTAACTACCATATTACTGCTGATTTTAGGGGGGAAAAAAAAAGCTGAATAGATAGAAGTAGCATCAAGATGAAATTACCAACAAAGAAATTCTGCTTTCACCAAATTAAAGTCCCACAGACACTGTAACGTAATTTCTTGCTAATGACTGCATTATTAGACTTTTGTCACAGGATAACCCTCCGAACTTGAAATTACCATAGATCTTTGTTCAAACTGTGTCTGATAAAAACATAGCAGTCTCCTATGTCATTTGCCCAGYTGGATGCAATAATGATAGACTTGGAGTTTATTTCCCAATAACTCAGAAACAATGATTAAAATAATTAAAATGCTTTCCACAGCATAAAAATTCCACAACACAATGTTATTTAGTGATCCCTTATGAAGTCTTGTTTCACCTAACAGATATAATGGTGKTGGAGTCACACGTGGTTTCTCAGGTGGTTTCAGGGAGCAAGAATTTATGCAGTTACTTTCAAAGCAACGGGAGAGTCTTTCTCTCCTCTCTTGTTCACACAGACAAGGATTCAGATCAGAAGTTGAGCTGAAGGGGTTTCTGTTACTCCTTCTAAAGSAAGGGAACCGCGGGCCCATGTTGCACACTGGCCTCTAGCTCTTGGCAGTGCCAACATTAGCGCAAAGACACTCACCTTCCACAAGCCCGAAGGTGACCCAGGTTACTCACCCAGAGCCCAAGGGCCACATCCAACTTGCATATAAACTACATACATTTATTATAAGCACATGTAACCGTATTTGGTTGCACTTTATCTCTCCACATTATGCAGACGGGAAATAATTTATTGCGGTTCAAGTTCATTAGCGGTGCCAAAGAGCAGCGTTGCCGTTCTGTCCTCACCCTCCAGCTCCAGCACGGGGGCAGCTGGAGCCCACATTACATGACGCAGCAGGTCTCCTCTGGCCCTTGGGCTGCACGTTACATGCCCCCGCTCTGCTGTTTGATGTGCTGAACAGTCTCCGATTTCCAACTGGGGATGTAAACTGATAATGAGATTGCTTTAATGCTCTAAATCTCAGCGGCATTATCACCAGGGGCATTTTCCTGTGTTTGGAGTGGTCTGGAAGGGAAAGGGAAATAAACACTAGAGGTGAAAACAGAATTGTTGTATAAGCTACAAGACAAACACAAGCTGCTGATTCAGGGGAAAGTGTAAACTGGGAGCAGCCAAGTGACAATTTTGTGGCTTTATTTATTTATTTTTTTCCCCCTGATACTTGTCACACTGAATATTTACTTAAAATGCTATTCAGATGAACAGGCTCACAAGATGCTGCATCAGATTCCCACTAGAGTCTTGGTAAGAGCAGACAAACAGTGTAAACATGTTAAAAACATAAAAAAACCAGCATAGCAGGACACATGATAATTTTGCATACAATCACAGTATGYTAAGAGATCTGCTGTACATCAGCCACAAAACTAACAATCTGTTAAATGTAATATTAAGCACTCTAGTAGCACTTCTGTTTCAGGTGTTAAGATATCTCATAATTACTTATCTAATTTCCCCTTAGCATTTGGGCTATAGTAGTTTCTACTTGTCAAGCATCACGTAATTTTATCTCAAAATTTGTTAAAGAAATATTGTCTTGAGAAACCACAAACAGTAGGAGCAAAATTTTAATAATTGGCTCTGTTAGTGTCACTTCAGCAACATGATTCCCACTATTCTAATCACGGGGGCCTTTAACATGCCYTGAGGGACACATAGTTAAAAACCAAGAGAGAAATGACACAATTATTAACTGACTACAAAGCGGGGGGGGAAGGAAGATATTTAAACATTACTATTAAACATTGCTAGAAAATTAGGTTCTTACAACACTGTTACACTTCTTGTGTTGGTAACATATGACAATGACATACAAGGTTTTTTACATATATATATTATATATATATATGTATATCAGGGTAACCATACAAGACACTAACCTTTTTATAAAGCTTCCTGGAGTAACTTTGGTGCAACATCCTTGAAATTCTGAGTTCTCTGGATCGCTGTGCCACTGGTCTGATGCTGTTTGCACTAGCTGGCCTCACAGTGTCACTTTTCTGTCTACTACTCCTATACCCAGTCACCTGTCACATATCACAGCTACAATATACAAAGACATACCACAGACTCACACCTTTAGACTCACCCCTCCAACAACATCTAGCAAAGCAYTAGAAAAGAGCAGAGCTTGCAGGGCACTACACAGCTGCATTAAATGAGCAAGCTTGGGCATCTCCAGGTGGGTTAAAGGAGGAAATTGCAAGGTTTTCACCACATGAAAGCTTTCTGTTTGTTTTCACACAAAGCTTCTCTAGGTGGGACAGTCACAAGAGCGAGCTCTGAAATTCTCTAATTCACTTACTTTAGTTTTTTACCTGCACTGGACAAGGGGCATAAATTAGTAGTGAACAACATGCTCCTAGACTCCACCATTTATATCCTTATGTTCTACATTTAAATTAGCAGTCCATGATTAGTTACTATGAAGAAGGAGAGAAAAAGTAGTACTTTAATGCCTTACAAACACTTCTAAAATATACGTGTAAGAAGAGTGAAATCATAAAGCCATCAATAGCATTATGCCAATAACTATGCACTGCAACTGCAGCGTGTTATGTCAAGCGTTAGAGAACAAGAAAGGTCTAAGCAGTGGAGAAAACATACGGATTGAACAGCAGTAACCACTTTCACAATGACTTTGCTTCTTCCTTATCTCATCCTTTATGCCAGACCTTAATTAATGGTTTGAATTTCAGAACGCCCTCCTGGCCTACCAGCAAGCTCCTGGCTTGTCTTTCATTACGTAACCCATATGGTTTCTATGGGTATCTCAATGCTTGCCCTGATCCTTCCCACATCTATCCTCCTGAGCTGAGTACCATCTTCAGCTTTATTAGCTCCGTATGTGATGAGCTGAACTGATCACAAAAGCGTGCAACTCTTTTGTCAAGCTTTCACTGACAGCAATGAGGGCAATCTTCAATTTCCAGAAGCCACTAATGAACCACAAAGAGCAAAACCAACAGTCATGTAACAAAATGAGGGATCTATGTTATGCGGCGAGGAGAAATACAGTCACTTGAGCAAACCCACTGAATGTGCCTCTGACTGAGTGTCCATGCTCATCTAATGCAACAGCTCACAGTCCATTGAGGGCAAAACACGTGCAAAAAATGGAGCTCACTGAGCAGTCACACAATTTAATTTTCACAGATATCTGATTGAAGTCTAGGCTGATATTTATTATTTACTCCAGGAATTGAATTTGGATGCTGTTAATGGCAATCAAATCATYCCATTATTCTCTACCCCAATATACAACATTATTTTGAAGTCTTCCTTTCTCATTTCTTGGTGAAGCAACTGTTAGAGCATTTGCTGTTTTCCAACCTCTTCTTTTAGCATCAACCTGCAAACTGTGGTTGTCAAATCATAGAGCTCTATTGCCAAGCCTGCTAGTTARCCATGTTATCCTGAATTGTGTCCATTATCTGTTTCAGTGAGCCACTTTTTGCTTCACTAGCTACATTATTAGTCATTCCAGATCTTTCCCATCTGYAGAAGAGCTGCATGCAGTCCATTTTGCCACAGGAAATACCTTAAACAAACTCTCCTTGTTTTTAAACTCAGAGTTTGACACTCAAAGGTTGCAAACTCTTGCACTAGTAGGGGGGAAACATCACTCAGACTCAGGCATATTTAATTCGCCCAAGCTTCACAGCTAATTGATAATATCATGTCCTTCATTTTATAATGTCCTTGTTGATGTGTTCTTTACAGAGTTGCCCCAAATGTGATCAGACAAAAAATTAAAACCAGATATATTTGGGGCTTGCCCACTAGCCATTTTTACTTATTTTCCTTTCTCTGCAAGAATACGAGCAGTACCCTCTCCTTTGAACTTCAGTCTAGAGCACTCTGCAGGGAGCTGCTCTTCATTTTTAGACTTCGTTTTATATCTACAAATGTCACATGCAGAACTGCCTGAACAGAGAAAGAACGAGATTCTGGAGTGCAAATAAAAATTCAAGTTGCAAACAAAAACTTCTATTAAATTTTATGGAATCATACCAAAGATGATTTCCAAAGCCTCTTACAAATGGAAATAATCTGAGAAAAAAAAATGGAAAATGGAATTCACAACAATGATCTTTATATAAACACGCATGGGATTTCATAGCCAATAGCATCATAATCACAAGAAATTTCATCACATCCTTCAGGTCTTTGCAACCTGTGTTTATTCAGGTAGAATTTAACTTAAATGCACAAATTAAAACTGACTATCGGTTCATTCCAAAGCATTGGTGTAGTGAAGTACACAGGGAGAGTGGAACAATTTTCCACCATCTAAGACCATCATCATCGCTCAGCAGCACCCTGATTAGCCATTAATAATGTTGTGTGTTTTTAATTTGATTCACATTGTGTAACAATTGAGTAGAGGGGAAGTGCATTTAAACAAGTCTATTTAAGTATTGATACCTTTTTCATAAGCACTTGCCATAGTATCATAGTCATCCATTAGCATGCCTAGTGCCCTTGAGTACCCGGGCAAGATCTGAACCTCTTTTATGGTCATTTGATTTGATCTCCTTCATCCTCTTCACACAYAGGACCATCTCACAACCCTGTGGCCTGAGCAACTACATGAAGAGCAGGTTCCAATGTTTTACGTAACCTGTATTAAAAAGCCTCTAGTGAGGAAAGTTTCACAGTGTCCGCAAAAACTCCATTTCAGTGCTTAAATATCTTTAGATTAGAAAGTTGCTCTGACCATCYAGAAATTTCCCTTGATGCAATTTAAGGCCATTATTTCTTCACATACCAGCAGATGTCAAAAAATAAGTAATTCCCTYAGATCTTGAAAAACTCTTTTACATATTTGAAAACTGTCACTGTGTCTCTGGAGAACCCTCCTTCAGAAAAATCGAACTGAGTTCTCTGAGTTTTTTTTCCTTAAAAACCATGTTCTCAAAGCCCTCGACCATTCTTGGGTCTCTCTCTTTTGCAGAATTCTCTTTCCTTGAGTTCCCATTGGAGTTGGGCAGTGCGGCACTGGACCTTATTTTAGAAGCTGTGTAATTTACACAGCGGCCCACAAAAAGTACAAGAATTTTGCTACAAGATTGGAGGCCTGTGAAGCTTGCTTCATAAAAGTGAAAGTTAAAAATAGCTTTGGCTCTAGAGCATGGCAGAGTCTCTAGACACCATCAACAACATGCAATAATTGTATTAACTCTAGAATACTGAAGAGAGGCAATAGCTTAAATATTCCACATTTTCCAAGAAGAAAAAGAGCATATAAAATAACACCAATAATTTATGATGCTATAAGTGATCCCTATAAGTGATCATTTAAAATTCAAATGTATTCAAAATAAAATAAATAAAAATGTTCTAAAATAAGCGTTGAGAAAGTAGAAGGAAAGCATAAATCACTGTAATTGCTAAAAGAAGTGAAAAATAATTGGAAGAAACTCAAAATGAACATCGAAGAGCACAGAGCACAGAACATTTCAACAATGTAAAATGGTGCTCAGTAAACATCCACAACATTTGAATAGCTGAGGACAAACTTTCTTTTACTGAAAAAGAAATAATAAAAGGAAATGAATAAAGGAGGAAAAAGCAGCATGCAATTTTAAATTCAAAATCACAGAGGAAGCAAACAATTGGAGACTGCACTATCAAAAATACAGGAAAAAAAAATCTGATTTCTGTTTGAAGATTAGAACCACTTACTTAACTGATAAGACAGATAAGACACAATGACTCCAAAGCATCAAGTTTTTCTTCCAAACTAACAGAGCCATCTGCAGTGTGATTTTACCATTTCAGAAAACTACCAAATCTGTCCCTACTAAAACATGACAGTAGTAGAGACCTCCTGTGTTGTACAGAGTGGTATCGTGGAACTGTTCCATGTGCCGTGCTATCATTTAGGAAGCCAACAAATACTCATTACATGAAGAAAAGCCTAGGGCTACCCAGAAAAACTATAAACCAGGTTATTTATTTTCAATTGCTTTGGAATTTAACTATGCAGAAAAGGTCAAATGAGGACAGATTTGAAGAGCAGACCTTCAGAGAACTTTCCATGTACTGTCATGTCTGGGAGCTAATAGAGTTATCACACTATTTTGTATGAATAGTATTTATTTCCAGCTTATCCCTGTTTGATTTATAAATTGCTCGTGAACAGTGTCAATGTCTTTAATATTCTTGCTACTTGCAGACTTTTCCAGAGCAGTTTAGATAACTATATTTTTCAGGCTATTTTTGGGAACTGTTCTTAGTTTTGGATAGTGGGTGGTTGCTAATTCAAGCTGCACTGTTTCCATTTTCATATTGGCTAACAATATTTCTTGGCAATTAAAAAAAATGTCCATGAAGATTTCTTAGATGCATAATCGAGTCATCTCAAATAATCAAAATAATTAAAACTTCTCAGTCCTGTGAACCTTTGTGCAATTAATCAAAAGATGTTAGAAGGCTTATGACTGATGTTTAGTAGCCCACTACAGATCACAACCACTTTAAATTTGACACTATCCTCAGAAACATACTTGTAGTTATGAATAATTTACAACATGTCTTTGGTTTTGACTGTGTCGTGAAGACTGGCTTGGAAACTATTTTTGCTACTACATCAAAGTACACAAAACAGACAATGCAGATGCTGTGGGCATGATGTTTGTCTAAGATTAATGAATATATTTTATATGAGGCTATACTCCCTCTTGGTAATTGCAGAGATGTGTCCAAAGACACTAAACAGTTAATTAACAGATCTTTTTCAAATTAGTCAGAGTCTGCATCTTTTACCTTTTGGTATAAGTGACACAAATGATTCTAAGAACAAAATTCTTTTCCAAATTACCATCAGGAAAAGAACAGAATGATACCTATGAATAGACGAGTAATGAATTAATACAATAGTTTACTTCATCTGATCATTGGATCAGAGTTCAGGACACATAAAAAGCTTGTGAATGCAGCATAATGAATGGATTATTTACTAATAGGAAAGTATATTAACGCAACAAGTATAGAAGAGATTTGAGAGTTAAAACATTGGTAAATGTTGCTCTTTAAAGAAGGATGCAAGGAATATGAAAATATGATCTGCACAAAAACTACGTAGACTAATGATTGAGCTGCTAGCTCA